AGAATCCACTGTGAGCACTGCTAAGTTGAATTGAGTGTTGGAGTGCTCCTTCTGTGCTTGAAAGAAAGAGAATAAAGCTGCGGGAGAAGGTGAAAGTGGAAATCTCTCAGAGGAGCTGCAGAGCTAATTAAGATACAGAAGGCTGAGTGCTAAACTCAGCAAAGAAAGAAAAATACAATTGCTTGGAAGTTAGAAGAAGACACTGTAAATCCATGCTTGGATAAGCTTGTGACTGCAAATGTCATGTTTTAATTCATCTATAAGTTTCTGCAAGCAAAGTTTTTGAATGTTAAAGTCTGGACCTTGCTTTAGTTTCCAAAGAAGAGTGTCAGTCATATATATACGTCCCAGTACGTTTCCGAGCACAATTCAAAGTGTTGGTACTGACATTTAAAGCCCTAAACGGCCTCGGCCCAGTATACCTGAAGGAGCATCTCCACCCCCATCGTTCTGCCCGGACGCAGAGGTCCAGCGCCGAGGGCCTTCTGGTGGTTCCCTCATTGCGAGAAGCAAAGCTACAGGGAACCAGGCAGAGGGCCTTCTCGGCAGTGGCACCCTCCCTGTGGAATGCCCTCCCATCAGATGTCAAAGAGATAAACCACTACCTGACATTCAGGAGACATCTTAAGGCAGGCCTGTTCAGGGAAGTTTTTAATGTATAACATATTAGTGTATTTTTGGTCACACACACACACACACACACACACACACAAATATATGAGCTTCTTAGCTGCGATTTCCCTCCCCCCTAATTGGCAGGGGGGTCACTTCTGGTCTACTATCAAGCCTCCTTACCTCTACAGTATACTTTCTCCTGTCTAGGACATATGGTTCTCCCAGCCGTTAATGTAAGTACCTTGGGGCTCAGATGTCACCCCCCCTCCGCCCCACAGAGATATCACCATTCTACTGATAGTAACAGACAAAGTGACTCATGGATAAGAATAACACTGCTATAAACAGAGATATTTTTTAAAGCCTTGTATGCATATAAGCGATGTTAGCTTCTAGTGCACCCACTGATTAAGCACAACCAAGCATCTTTGTCTCTCTAATTGGATTTGAATTGCTCAGCCAAGAAGACATTGGTTATACGGTAGATAATTACACAATATTACAATTAATTTGCTCCCACCGGGATCAGCGGCTTCTGTTCAAAGGGCGCTATAAGCTACATATAGCGGCTGCCACATTGAAGTACGAGGCACAAGGGCAGAGGGGGCACTACACCGAGGGGGGGGGGAGAGAACATGAATGCCAGAAACCAGAGCTTTTGGTGTAGGGACACGGGTGGCGCGGTGGTCTAAATCACAGAGCCTAGGGCTTGCCGATCAGAAGGTTGGTGGTTCGAATCCCCACGACGGGGTGAGCTCCCGTTGCTCGGTCCCTGCTCCTGCCAACCTAGCAGTACGAAAGCACACCAGTGCAAGTAGATCAATAGGTACCGCTCTGGCGGGAAGGTAAACAGTGTTTCCATGCGCTGCTCTGGTTCTGAAAGCTGTCTGCAGACAAAACGCTGATTCCCTCGGCCAGTAAAGCGAGATGAGCGCCGCAACCCCAGAGTTGTCCGTGACTGGACTTAACAATCAGGGGTCCCTTTACCTTTACTATTTGCATATAGAGAGCTGGATCCTGCTGTGAAATAAATTTCTGCTTCTATGTACGGACAGAAACAGGATTAGCATCACAGTGGTACCACTTAGGGAGGGAGCAAGCAACCAACATTTGGGCTGGAATGCTATTGGCTCCAAGAATCACCTGACCTCTACACAGTTTGTAGCAGCAGTGCCACCCTCTGGCCGTCTGCAGTGCTGCCATTGCTGCTGCAACATAGCAAAGAGCAGGCAGTGTATCTTTCCCACGGGAAGCTGTTATTGTGGGAGAAAGAAATGCATCTCTGTCCTACAGGTGGAGCTCCCTGTTTCAAGTGACTCACACATTGTGGCTTCCCACAGTGGCTGCTGATGTCCCTTTTCATCTTCCCATGTTTTCTTATGTACACACACACATTGGACAATGGGCTCAGGGGTGGCAGGTTAGAGGGATGAGTGAGCTCATCATATTGGAGTAATATGTCTCTACAAAGTCACAAACCCAAAGCACTCCTTTGTAATTTGTGCGCAAACATTTCTGTCTGCAAGTAGAGCATCAGGCTAGTCTGAGCAATATCACCAGCATAATCAACCTTCTCAAGCATTCATGTGCCGATAGATGTTTACTTCGTATGCATGGGAGTGCAGAAGAGTTGGATGAGTTCAGAAGGGTTGAGATGAGAATTTGATATTTATTATTATGAGAAGTGGGCAGGTAAAAATGGAATCGTGTTGCAGATGGAGAAACAACAAAGCAAAAATGGACATGTTGTGACTTTTCAGTGTCTGGGAGGTGAAATACTGAGATTCTGTGCCTACTTTCTTTAATATAATGGATTTGTGAGAAGGGGAGCCATCAGTTTCAGGGGCTTCCTGTGTGGCTGGGAGGTGTTTTGCATGCTTTCTAGCTACAAAAGAAGCTGGGAGTTTGGTCACTTTCACAAGATTTAAAGTCAATCATAGGCAGGCTGCCATTTTGCCTTTAGTGATATCGTATGAGCAATTCAGCCTGCACTGAAAGCAAAGGAATTGTTTTGCACTGTGTTGAGATTTTGAGTGACTTAAACAGCCTGTATAAATTGTGTGAAGACGTTGAAAGCTTAGCAGAAATGTGTCAGAAAAATATATATCCCAGTAGCACTTTGTATGGCGAACACACACACACACACACACACACACACACACACCTAAGCAGAGCATCTCATCATACTTTATCTCACATAACAGAAGCTAAGGGGTCACTTGTTTTGCAAGGCTGTAGGCTGCTCCTCTGAAAGCCATCATTTTAGCAAGCGGCCCGGCATCGTTGCTTGTGGCCATTTCCGCTTTTCTGTGTGACTGATAGTATTTACTTCAAGAAGTAAAACGCTAAACAAATATCACTGGTGGCAGAGCAGGGCTTGCTTGCAAAAGTGGAAGCGTCACTGCAAAAACCAGGAGTGCAATTCGTGGAGGTAAAGGTCACACGCACGCACTCTTCAAATTGACAGGAGATGTGGCCCCAAGCGGTGAGCAGCTAAGTCGTAGCCTGGCAGGGGTCACCGACTGTTTGGAAGCGAGGAGGCAACGCTGCAGCAGGTGGCTTCCAAATCACGTTCATGGCCAGCTGTTTGGTTGGTAGGGGTAGCAGACCCTTCAGGTCCCTATTTTCCAGGACAATCCAGGATTTACAGAAGCCGTCCCGGTTCCTGCTTTGATCCTAGAATGTTCCTTAGGACGCCCCTATTTTCATCGAAGAAATGTTGGTGGGTATAGTTATGCGACCAGCGGTGGAGCTTCATGCTCCGGCAGCGGAGGGGTGGGGTGGGGGTGGAGAGCAGCTGGGGGAGGGGCTGGCACGCGTCCCGGGGCCTGGCATGCCACCCGCAGGGGCATGACGTGCATACTGGGGGCGGGGCACGCCACCTGCAGGGGTGTGGCGCCCAGCATGGGCGGCGGGGGGCAGCCGGGATGGCACCCTACCAGGATTGCGCTGCCGGGGGTGGTGTGCTCCCCCCACACTCCTCTTCCTCCGCCAGTGTATGCAGCCCCCCCGAGCCAAGGAAATAAGTAACTATACATTGGTACCTCAGGTTAAGAACTTTCTGGAGGTCTGTTCTTAACCTGAAGTACCACTTTAGCTAATGGACCTCCCACTGCCACCACTGTTCTCCTCCTGAGAACAGAAGCAAAGTTCTGTAGCGTCTGTAACCCGAGGTACCACTGTACAACCTTGAGAAGACATCTGAAGGCAGCCCTGCATAGGAAAGTTTTTAAATGTTTAATGTTTTATTACAGTGGTACCTCGGGTTACATACGCTTCAGGTTACAGATGCTTTAGGTTACAGACTCCGCTAACCCAGAAATAGTACCTCGGGTTAAGAACTTTGCTTCAGGATGAGAGCAGAAATAGCGCGCTGGCAGCAGCGGGAGGCCCCATTAACTATAAGTGGTGCTTCAGGTTAAGAACAGTTTCAGGTTAAGAACGGACCTCCGGAACGAATTAAGTACTTAACCCGAGGTACCACTATATGTTGTTATATATGTTGGGAACTGCCCAGAGTGGCTGGGGAAATCTAGTCAGGTGGGTGGGGTATTATTATTATTAATAATAATAGTTATTGTACCAGACATTTGTTGGAGGGTATGGGGTAGACTGTGCATTTAAGGCACAAATCGATGATAGAGTAATGGCTGGTGCACATGCAAGTCTGGTCCATCTGTTAGGCAAAATTTGCACCAATGGAGATCAACTTTCCTTGCCCATGCTGTGTCCTTGGGTCACTACAGAAGAACGCAGTAAGTGGCTCTCGGAAGCAGCCGCAGAGGCCACTGGTGTCAACTGGCCATGGCAGTCGCCGTGGTGAGAAGTGGCCCTTTATCCTCCCCATTTGCTGTGCCGTGTCCAGCAAAATGTTTAAAAATGGCCGGGGTATGGGGAGAAGAAGAGAGGAGGCAATGGCAGGGAGGAAGGCATTGTGCAGTCCCTGTTACCTTTTGGACGTGTGGGTCAGATCTGGGCTGATAGATCACCACAGAAAGAGATAAACCCTGGAGCAAAACATACAGCAGAAGGCTTAGTTTGGTGAGAATTAAGTATACACGTCCAAACTTAATGCTAAATACATTGCTTCTGGTAAATGAGCCACAATAGCTGCTAGAGGGCAGTGAAAATTTATGTCCCTGGCTTTTTAGACCAATATACCCTCATACTGTCTGAAATCAAAGAGGCTCATTGGCTGGCAAATGTGAAATATCGTGGCATTATTTTCAGCTCTCCTACTGCTCCTTAGAGATAGGAAAGGTAAGAGTGAAATAATGCCCATGTTTAGGGCTGAGTTGGTACAGTCATGTGATGCTTGATTGAGGCAAAAATGCACCATGAAGGAGCATGCAAAGGAAAAAAAAAGTTTCGTTTTTCTTCTACAGGTATCATCAGTTCTGGAATATGGCCGCATAGTAATTTACACAACCAGCCTTCGGGTGGTTAGAACAACTTTTGAGCGGTGTGAGCTGGTTCGGAAGATCTTCCAAAACCATCGAGTGAAATTTGAAGAGAAAAACATTGCACTGAATGGTGACTATGGGAAAGAACTGGACGAGAGGTGCCGGAAAGTAGGTGAAATCCCATCGCTACCAGTTGTGTTTATTGAAGGCCAGTATCTCGGGGTAAGTACTATATGCTTGAATACCAGCTCCCTACGATGCACATTTTACTCAATAAGCATGAGAAATAATCAGGAATGTATGAAGACACAAATCTTCACCATTGTTTGAGTTTCTCTAAAATACAGTATCAAAAGGAAAGGAATACAAAGAACGCGAATCGATATATAGCAGTCATAATGAATTCAAGCAGAGAGACTAAACAAAACATGTCTAGAATAATGTGTAGACAAGATAAGAATGAAATAATTCTATTTCAGAAGTGTTTTGCATAATAAAACCCAATGGCTCTTCTTCAGCGGCCAACCATACCTAAAGAGAACTGGCTGTCCTCCTGTGTCCATTAGAGCAATTACTTATTGTGAAGTCTTCAATAAACCGTTGCTATCCATCATACTGATTTCAATCATTCTTGTTCAGAAAAGATGAACCGTAGTCTCTTAGATGTTTTCATAATTTCTGGCCATCAATTAGCTGCTGAGCTCAGTTCAAGGTGCTGGTTCTGTTGCACAAAGCCCTATACATTATGGCATGGTGATATTTGGTTTTCAACATTGTGATATATACTGATATATCACGATGTCTGAAATAAGGATGGAGCTATGTAGAGGTGTTGGCTGAATTCATGGTTTTTTCCCTTACTGTGATTTTGGTGCAACACACACACACACACACACACACACGATTTGTGATATATTGCCAGATCAGAAATTATGAAACCGATACAGTGGTGCCCCGCAAGACGAATGCCTCGCAAGACGAAAAACCCGCTAGACGAAAGGGTTTTCCGTTTCTCGATGCGCTTCGCAAGACGATTTCCCCTATGGGCTTGCTTTGCAAGACGGAAACGTCTTGCGAGTCTTGCAATTTTTTCCGCTCCCCCCCCTTTTTCTAAGCCGCTAAGCCGCTAATAGCCTTTTAGCCGCTAAGCCTTTAATAGCCGCTAAGCCGCTAATAGCGCTAAGCCGCTAATAGGGTTGCTTCGCAAGACGAAAAAACCGCTAGATGAAGAGACTCGCGGAACAGATTATTTTCGTCTTGCGAGGCACCACTGTATCTCTATCTGGACTTTAAACCAGTTTTTGATTATCGCCCAGTCCTACAATGCAACTTGGGACCCAGATACCTAAAAGGTATTGTGGCATTCATTCGGAGCCCCCGGTTGTCTCACGGACTATTGACCCTTACACCACTAATCCGCTGCCACCAACCAGGTCCTCCCTGGTAAAATCACTTCAGTCTCAGTCAGGTTCTCAGGTAAATAAAGGAGAGTGTATTTTATTTCAGACACAAACAAACTTTGGTGGCATTCCAAACGTTGTTACTCTCTACTTTCTTAGTCTTATTATCTTATCTCTTCTACCTCCCCCACTCAAGAACCCACTCCCCTGTCTCTCTATTTCCAAATGCCTGCCAACTGCTTTTCCAACTGCTTTTCCCAACCAGCCAACCCCTAAAAGCAACAGGCTACCCACCAACAGCTCTAACAAACCTCGGGCTAAGCCCTTTTATACACATGTAGGCTCTGCCTCCAGCTTTCCTATTGGTCTACATTTTTAACCCTTTCTCCCCCCTACAGATAGGCTCTAAACGAACGGGCAAACGCCACAGGTATCTCTTATATACCCAGTCAACCACTGCCCTCTTCAGGAGAGAGGCTCCTGCAGATGCCATCTCTTCAAGGGGTCTGTTCTATACAATATAGGAATCAAGTGTTTAGTGTGTAGTGCCACCCATCCTTTCAAATAGATACAAGCCACCTCTATTGTATGTTTGAATCATAGAATGATTGTCAAGTTGGAAGCGACCCCGAGGTCTAACCGCCTGCAAAGCAGGAATCATTGGGCCCCTGAAGACCTTCCTTTTTCAACAAGAGAACTTCATCCTAGTCTGCATAAAAACTGGAATAGTTTTAAGAGGCTTTTGGATGTTTCAGCCGGACCACTTTATGTGTTTTCTGCCTTGGTTCCCCCTTTCCCCCCCCTTTTTAGGAGGAAGAGCAAGATATAAATGCAATTAACAAATAAATAATTTCATTTTACACGGGGCTGATTCTGGGTCTGGTTCAGAGGCTGCAGTTAGGGCAGGAGGCCACGGCAAACCTGCTTGTGGGAACAGTTTGCCGTCAGCAGAAAACACCAGTGTAGAAAGCTCTGCACTGGCTGGCAGATTTAAAGTGCTTGTTTTGACATACAAAGGCCGAGATGGAAAGCGCTGCTCCTCAGTCAGCTGACGCCGTTATGTTGTTAGTGCACTGTCTTGTTTTTACATTGTCGTATTTCAGCGAAATACTGTCTTTCGTGTGCATTTTGTTGCTTCTCACTTTCTTTTGTGAAGAACGAAGAGCAGGTTATTAATAACTGAAAGGATCAAATAAATAAACATCACTGTCGTAGCAAAACCTACATATTTCACGTTACAGAGAAGTGTCCTAAAACAGGCAGCAAATGGGCAGAGGTGGAGATTGGACGGTGTTCAGTTGTGCAATTAAGGCAATTGCGATGTGCGACAGTGGCTCTTTTCTGCGCTAATTAACACTGCTGTCTCTGCTTTTGAAGAAGAGGCAATTAAGGCAACTGGGCGAGCAATGGGTAACAGCGACACAGGTCTGCCTCGCTGCCTGTGTTTTCAGATGTGATGCAAAATTATAAATGATAATGGCCGTGTGATGATCCCAATGATTTGGACCTGCTTCTTGTTGACATATAGCACGAACATGTCACGCCGCCATGTGGCAATAAGAGATGGCGTGGTGGGACAGAAGCTCTCACCTGACCTCTCAGCAGTTGAGGTCCTGGATGAGGTGGTGGTGAGGTTGGAGTGGTGAAAATGTGCAAGCTGAACCACTCTGGCACTCCTCCCAGGTGCTTACACCATGCTGCCCTCTCTACTGCCTGTTGGGATGCTGCCGGGGAGTTGGGGGCATTTGGCAGGCCCCCAGCTGGCTCCGGCCACTGGCCGGCAGCCAGGCGAACACCGGTTCTCAGAACAGCATCAATCAGCGACACGAGCCTCCGATACGTTCAGAAGCTGTGCATGCTCTTATCAGGAGAGTGAATAAATCCTCACAATGGAAGTGGCGGACAGAAGCACATGTAAGCATTATTTACAAGTGTTTATCCAGCATCAGGAACAAAGGAAAAACATGTCTGCTTCCCTTCGTGTCCAGCAAACAGCAGTATACAAACGGAAGTTCCCAGCAAGCTTGTGCTGGAAGTAAACAGGCCTGTGACACACAACAGTCATGCCTGTTCCTTTTAAGGTGGAATGGAACTATATCCTAACACTGCCTTCCCCATGCTCTGACCAGTAAGCAGAAATGACTCAGTGGCCAGGAGGTCAAGTCAAGATCCCCATGGCAGGATCTGCTATTGCAACTATGTGGCATGGCAGAAAGGCGCATGAAAATAAACAGGCAGGTTTCAGACATCGTTATAACTCATTAGGTGGTTTGTTTGGGTTTTTTGCAGCCACAGTGGGCATCATCATGGGGGATGAGAGAAAGAGAGAGGGGGGGCAGTTGTTTGAGTCCTGGCTCTTATCCACTGGGAGAGGCAGATTTAAGAGTTTGGGTTCAGAGCCAGGGAGGGGGGACACAGGGAATGCCACAACCATTATTTAGAATGGAGCATGAGAGGTGGGGGATGCCAAATTTTGGCATCACACATGGCGCTGCTGGAATTTGAGACCTCAAGGTCCGCCACTGGGATGTCACTTAAAAGCCCACACACAAGGATGCGTTTCTCAAATGCTATGTTAGTGAAAACCCTTAAATCAGGTTCCCTAAACATCTACAGAAGTCTTTCCCAACCTGGTGCCCTCCAGAACTTTTGGACTACAACTCCCATCAGCCTCAGCCAGCAGGCTCGCACCAGGTTGGAGAGCCTGATCTATGTTATGGATCAGATCTCTAAATTCAGTATCATCTGGTGGTTTTTAAAAATAAAAAAATTATAAATGCTACCTACCTTGACTTTAGAGTCTAGGTTCAGTACTTTTGAGAAAGTCAAAATTCTATTACGCATCAAGGCCAACAAAACGCCATGTACGTACGTGATGTCAAAGGCTGTGGTCTGTACCATCAGAGGGAAGGGGCGTACGCTAGCCAAACCAACTCCTCCTTCTTCTTAATTTCACCATTGCCACCAAGTGGATACCTAAATTTCTCTCTTGTTTCCACCACTAAACAGCCTATTAACCTTCTAGATTTTCACCGGCTCAGCCTACGCTGAGGCACAGGGTAAATAACAAGGCCTCTGACCAATTTTCTGCTAAGCAAACCGTTTGACCCAAGTCTTTATTTTTCCTGCAATTTCTGTCAAATTGGTCCTCCAGCCTCGTTTTGCAAGTCTTGGCAATGTTTTCTAAGCAGCACAGCTTGCCACCGTCACTAATGCTTGAAATGTCAGTGAGTTGCTTCTGAATGGGAGTCGGCGCAGTGGTCGCAGAAATTTGCCACTTTCTGTCTGCAGCGAGACCCTACCTCAGCTACCGAATGTGCGCTGCGAGGTCCGGGCTCCACAGATAGCATTCTCCGCAGTTCCATGCTCTTACTCACAGTCAAACTCTTCCCACCTGCGCCCATCATTTTGACAGCGCCTGACCTGTCTGAGAGCTGTCAGAATTTTCTGTACTTTCTAGGCCAAGCCAAGGAACTTTGGTTGGGCTTGGGTGCATTACCTTTTCGATGCAGGTTTTTTAGTGACGAGACAGTTTGCTTTTTAGGCTGCCGCATCAGTTTGGAAGACAAGCTGCCTGCTTAAACGGCCATTATGTTTCTCAGCCTACTTAAGGGCTTGCTAAGGCAGCAACTTACACAGTTTTTGAGTTACGCCATTTTAGGAAAAAGAACTAATTTGACTGTTTGAGCAAACTCATAAGAGCTAAAAAGAGAGAGATAAATGCATACAAGTTTATCGATACACCAAGCAAGGGTGTATTGATTTGTATCTTTCAGTTTGCCTTCCAAGCCACTTTGTGGTCTCATTCTGGCTCCTTTCTGC